ATAAAGCTGCTATCAACATCTGTGTGTAGGTTTTTTAGTGAACATAAATTTCAACTCATTTGGGTAAACCAAGTAGTGCGATTACTGGATCATGTTGCAAGTTTTGTAAGAAAATGCCAAACTGTCTTCCAAAGTGGCTGCCATTTCTTTTTCTCCAGGGGGAAATTGCCTTGGGGTTCCGAATAGCTCATGTTCATTACACTATCATCCTCTAAGGATGTCTCTGAACAAAGCTAGGCTTTGTACTGAGACATTTCATTTCCCTCTTTACCTTTCCGATCTCTGGGAAGAGCCTCTGAACAGAGATGCCAGCACTCTGTGCAAGGCTAGTCAGGTGTTCAGAAGTCACATCCAGCAAACTGCAACATCTGTTTCATGTCAGGAAGAGGCTCTATTTCAATCATGGTTCAGTCAATGTATTGCACTGGCAGAAGTAGTTTTTCCTCTACATGAGCTGAACTTGAGGATTAATATTCACAAAATCTCTTCAGCAATCTGCATATTGGACTGTCAAGTTGCTCACCATTGTAGTTGGTTATTTTCCCCCAAGCTTCTTACGATTTTCTCAGTTTGGAAAACACTTTGCTGTCATCAGCTAGATTGAAGGGTCAACATCAACACTATAATCAATTCAGCTCTGTAAATGAACTCATCATTCTTGTGTTCATGAATCGACAACATGGGCTCTCTTTTAAACAGAGGGCATTTTGGCTGGCATTTCCCCCGGTAGCTCTTTGAGATCTCCTACTGACACGTGGCAAAGCAGTCCTCAGAAGTCATCTAATGAATTCATATGAAAAAACTTCATTTAGAGGTGTAAGGTCATTTCAGTTCTACTCAGCATTTCATTGCAGTCTCTGCCTCAGAGCTCTCTCTCAGGGCCCATGCAGGGCAAACTGGAAATGCCATGTGTTTAATGCCCCATGCTTCAGTCTACATATTTTCTGTGGGTCTATTTTCCTGTTACTACTCCTATCTTCTGTTTGGTTGACAACATTTTTAACTTAATTCTTTACCACTCTCCTTCCTGGCCAGAGCTTCCTCATGGGAAGAGTGTGCTTCTTTACCCCCACTTTTCAGGCTTGGCAGTGATTCTTCATTGGAAAGTGATCTATGGGTAAGGGAGGAAGGGTGCTGTTGCGAGCCTAGGGCTTCACAGGGTTTGCATGTTTCCGCTTGGTTTCTTGAGCCTCTGCCCCTCTATGAGAAGAACATTCTAGTCCCAAAAGGATGAGAAACATTTGGAGCACGTCCATTTCAGCTGACACAACAGACCTGCACATATTCTTCTCCCCTCAGCTGTGTCCCAGAGAAACCTCAGCGAACCCAACCTACATTAGCCAAATTTCAGAAGACCACAGATATGTAATAATAAATGATTGTTACTGTTAACTACTGAGTTTTCAGGTTTCTTTGCTAAGCAACAACAGCAACACAATACAGTCTGTATAGTAACTTCAGAGGAATTCATATCCCCTGCAGACAGAGGACAGACATGGCTGAGGAACTTGAATTTCTGAATTCACGTAAACTCCTTTACTGTTTAGATGCCAAACCTCTCCTGTGTCTTACGGAATCTATGCTTCTTTGCATACAAGCTTTCCTCTAAATGCCGCTGAAAAATTGACCTACAGGCTGTTGCCAGTTTTCCCTGGCCCACTCCCCAAATTTCTCATTGGTTTCAGTACATAAAAATGGTTAGATCCAACATTTGCTGATGAGAGATGGAAACACTTAACCGGAAACACATAGCCTATACCCTAAAAGATTTGCATGACCCCACAAATCTGTATTGCTACAAAGTTGGGGAGCATCTGTGGGACTAAATTTAAGGTGAACACAACAAGGGAGAATAATTACAAGACTTAAATAAGCTGCACTTATTGACATGGATGCAGAGGGAAGATTTAACATGCTAATATGAGCGTCTAGGGGTGGTATTAGATAGGCTGGCTAATTAAAGACAGGACTTAATTCTAGCTTAGATTAGTGAGGCAGAAGTGCCGGAGTTTTCTTGATGTATATTACAGGAAGCTGTTCATAGGCTCATTGTTACAGAAATTTTTGAATGGATCTATTATGTGTAAGCTGCTCAATTACCACTTAATTTCTATTCCCAGAGAATATAGGAGGGCATTCCAATCTCCCAGGAAGAAACTCCATTCATCCAGGAGGACATTCCATTCACCAAGATTAAGAACAGGGCTGGTGAGGGGAACTAGTGTCTTGAAGAGCTTTGTGGTGATGGTCCTTTACAGGCTGAAGATAACAATGTGAGATGCTACAGTGAAATTGGGTTCCCTGATCTAAATTAGAAAAGTAGGAGCCAAGAATGGATAAAGCCTGTTGGATATACTTGACTACCAGATAAAAAATGAGCAAATAATCACATAAATCAGAGAAGCAGAATGGTGATAGATGGATTGATTCACAGATATCCTTAGCAGTGGCTAATCAGTAATGGGTTTCTAGAAATGAAATATACGTCTGCTATGGTGCTACCCTACACACATGGAATTAAATCTATAGGTCTGCAGGACAGAAATGTAATTCAATTCACCTTTGTAGGGATTCCTAGCCTCTTAAACAATTCCATACCTAAGCTATAGCATAGACTCAGTCCCTCAGCTAAAGCCTCTTTGAAGAATAATCTTGAAGAAGAATAGTCACAGGTGTTCATGTATCTTCCTGAAGCCCTCCTCAGAGAGATCTGAGGCCATTTACCACTATGACTGTTCACTGATGACAGAAAGATATTCAGACCTTTTAGGAGTTGTTGGATACTGGCTCAGAACTTAGACTTATCTTTGAAACACCACTGCTCTACCAATAGGAGTACAAGCTTATTGAGATCTCGTAGATGGGTCACAAATCCATCTTTTCTTTTGTTTTGTTGTGTTGTGTTTTCCCCCATAGTTCCTGAATGTATAGTGTCATCAATACATTCAGTAATAGACAGAATTTCTACATTGGAATAAGAGCTATTATAGAGGAAAACCCAATTAGAATATCTTGAAATGCCCCTTCAGACTCCAAGATTTCAAACTGAAAGCAATTATTCTGTATCCCTAAGGGACTTGTAGTGATTAGTGTCCCCTTGAAAGGCTTAGGAGTTACAGGGGTGATGATTCAAAGCTTGTCCTCGTTTACTTCACCAGACTGGACAGTGAGAAAGCCAGATGGCCAAGAAAATGATAGAAATAAAAGAAGATTATTGGAAACTTAAGCAGGTTGTGACACAAATGTAGACAGCAATTCTAGATGTTGGGTGTCTACTAAGACAGATAAACATAGCCCCTGGTACTTCGAGAGCAACCATGACTGGGCAAAATGAGTTATTTTTTATCCTAATCAATGACTGTCCAGTTGAATTCGTCCAAGGTTTTTTTTAAAGATATTTTAAAAGATCAAAATAAAGACATCAATTCTTCTCAAATTGAGCTATAAATCCAATGGAATTCCCATCAAGATTCTACCTGGTCTTTGTTTGTTTGCTTGTTAGGATTTAGGGATTTATGCAGAACATACGTTGATGGTAACAGAAGAGACTTTCAAAAATGGCTCAAGCGTTCAAGAGGAAGATTGAAAATATGAGATGTCTTGCTCTGCTGGTATGGAGATATTTCAAAGGTAAGTAATTAAGATTCATGGTACTGGTACGTGGATGACCAACTGAACTAAGGAAATAGAAGAGAGGCAGAGAAATAAACATATTCACATATGGGAACTTGATCTGCAACCAAGAAGGCTTTGCCAATAGGGGAGATCAGAGAGTAAAAGATGGACCCATTCAATACATGAATAGGCAGAATTGGTTATTCGTATGGAAAAAAATAAACTTAGATTCCTAACTTATACTACATACACAAACACACACAATGTTCCAGATAGATTAAAATTTAAACATGGAGGACAGAACTTTCAATATATTGAAAGGAAATATAAGAAACATCTCTGTGTCCTAGGGCAAACACTGTTAAACAAGAAAAAAAAAAGCAAGCCATATCCAAACTAATTGATTCATTTAATTACATTAAAATTAAGTTTTAGTATCTAAAAGTTATCATAGAGAAGGTGAAATGTCAAGCCACAACCAATAAAAGATATTTTCAGTACATACAACTAACAAAAATATTAATAATTTGAATTTAGAAAGATTCCTACAAATCAATAAGAAGAGAACATTAAAGGGCAGATGCCATAAATAGGCATATCTAGAGGAAAAATTAAATTTCTTGAAATGTATGAGAAAATGCTCAACCTCGTAAGTTATCATAGGAATGCAGAGAAAAACTACAAGGCGTTATAATTTTACATACAGCAGATAAGCCTAAATGGAACATTCTGACAATGCTAATAGGAAAATTTATTCACTTTTGTTGAGTATGAATGTTCAATTTTCAAAATGAAATGGGGAAAAAAATGATACTGTAAATGTGAAAATGTCTACCCAATGATCCAACTATTCTATTTCTAGGTATGAAAACTAGAGTACCATCAGTATTTCTGTATTTGGAGAAATACTTGAAAACTGTAATAGTATTATTATTGGTGAGGAAAATAACCCAAATATCCATGACCAAGAGAATGACAAATAAATGTTGGCATATATTTAAGATGGAATATTCTACAATAGTTAAAAATGAGCAACAGATACATACATTAACAGATAATGCTGAAATGTCATGTTCAACAAAATGAACTATTTCAGAAAACTATACACAATATTATTTAACTTACATTGATATTCAAACTCAAGAGCATTTTGTTCAGGCATATGCACAAATAGTTAGTACTGTAAATTAAAGCAAAGGCAGGAAACATAAATTCAGGATATTCAATACAACTGGGTGGGAGGGCAGCAGAGTTCTTGCCAAGAAGGACAAGAGTATCGGCATTGTTCTGCTCCTTACGTTGCATGCTGGGTACACATATGTTCACCTTACATCTATTAAATTTCGCATATAAAATAGTTGATTCAGTAAAAAGCAGCCTCTAACCTGTTTGTTAGATCCACACAGGTTCCATTATTTTTGCAAGGTTTAGAGGAACACTCATTAGTTTCAATTTCACACAGAGGTCCAGAAAACCCGGGTCTGCAAACACACCTTTTAAAGAAGAAATTTAATAACTCTATTAATATAAATGTATAAAGTTGAAGCTTAAAATAATGGTATCATGGCAAAATGTTAATAAACAGAAATGTGCAATTTGTCAGTTGGAATTATAAATATGCATACATTTAGATACATCTAGATGCTAAAACACACATCTAGATATTATTTGGTTTTCTCTACCTGAAACTGTTGACCCCATCTTCACAGTCACCATAATTCTGGCAGGGAAGAGAGAAGCACTCATTCGTGTTAATTTCACAGTGTTCACCTTCAAATCCTGTAAGAGAGATGAGATGGGTATGGATGAGCAATCCTCACTTTCGAGTGTGAAAATCAGAATCAGTAGTAAAGAGTCTGGAGAATATGCTCATAATGGAAGCTAAAAAAAAAAAAAAAAGAACCACCTTATCTCTGGCTTCTCATACAATTCTATTTCACATAACGTATAAATAAAATTATGCTACTTTCTAATTAATGAGCTCAAATGAAAGAACCAAGGAAGGAACACGTTACTAAATCCCCTGGGAAAGTCGAGTTGTTGCTAATGTCGCTGTTGTTTGAAGGTATTTAAATGTTTGAGCAAGAAGAATTGAAACGATCTGGAAAGCAAAGGAATTAATGTGATGACCAATCTTAAAGTAAAATTGAGCTCCAGTGATCAAATTTATTCAAGGCAGTTAGCAGATGAGGCAAATTATTTAATTGCTTTTCGTATCCAAGTGATTCACAGAAAACAAATTATTTTGAGTCATAGCTACATAATCACTCATCCATTTAAACACATTCCAGTTATATTTTTAAAAAAACAAAGAACATGAAAGAAAATTATACAGACTGATAAGAGAGGCAGTTGTGATTATTTCAACATTTCTATCAGAAAAACTCAGCAAGATATCACTTTTTAACACATTAAATATTCAGTATTTTCTGATGATCATTTAAACAATTATTTCCATGATTATATATGGACTAGGTAAAACAAAATATATACGTATACTCCTTTTTATTGATAATATTTATTCTATACTAGTAGAAAATGTAAGAAACAAGAGGATTTTCCTTTGTCTTGTTTTTTCAGTGATATAACTAAGCACCAAATAATAGCAGTGACATTATAAATGTCAATCTCTGCTCAGATTTATTTAGCTTGAGGAACAGAGGTCATTCAAGTTACTGGAAGAACATTGTGTTTATTATTGGCCTACACACAGACAAGGAGTGGAACTGAGAAGCACCTGAAGTGGACGGAGGTCTAGCTACCCATGATGGCCGCCTTCCTCCCTTACTGCCTTCTCATATAGTCCCTCTGCTTTCTATCTTCAAAGACCTCTTCACGTGAAAGCTTGTGCTACTGGCATGCAGCTGACGGAGCACAGCTTCCTTGGTCTCCATCTCTGTATCCTGACCTTTCAGCTGCAGTACCTACTGCTCAGGGGAAAATCCCCTCAGTATTTCCTCACTCAGATGCCCGTGAGAGAAGATGGGACTGGCCTTCTTTATCTTTTCACATCACACCATGCCACGAGCTACTGCCATTCTCTGTGGTGTCTACCATCAGGTCAAGTGCCAAACCCACTTCCCGTTGGAGACTGGGAAGTTGGTACCACGTCTTGTGATATCTGGCTTCCTCTTTAGCAGAAGAGAATATGAAATTCTAAAAATTACTTAACCCAAAAGAAAATCAGAGGAACAAAGTAGTGATACAACAAGCAGAAAACAAATCACAAGATGGTTTATTTAAAGCCTAAATGTCAATAATTACATGAAATATGATTTTAAAAAACACTCCAATGACAAGGCAGAGACAGAGTAAATAAAATAACAGAACCAGCTACATGGTATCTACGAGAAATTCACTTTAGAGTCAATGATAGGCTAAAAGTAGAAAGATGGTCTGAAGATGCACATGGACGCCATAAGAAACCAGGAGTGCCTGTGTGACCAGCAGACCTACTAGTCTTCAGGACAAGCATCAGGACTAATTTGTCCTATTTTATTTTCACTCAATCGTTGAATTCTTCAAGTTAAACATTGATGTTGCACTCTTATAATTTCATTCATGCACTAGATGTTGTATCCGTTAAACCAAAATTAAAACCAAACCATTACCAAAATTAAAATTAAAAGCAAAATTAAAAACCAAGCATTAACACCAAAATTAAAATGCGTTATTTCCAAGTTAATATGGTTCTCCTAATTCTATTTATTTATTTATTTATTTTGAGGAAGATTAGCCCTGAGCTAACGTCCGCTGCCAATCCTTCTCTTTTTTGCTGAGGAAGACTGGCCCTGAGCTAACATCTGTGCCCAACTTCCTCTGTTTTATACGTGGAGATGCCTGCCACAGCATGACTTGATAAGTGGTGTGTAGGTCCACTCCCAGGATGCAAATTTCTGAACCCTGGGGCCACCAACGCAGAGTGCGAGAACTTAATCACTGCATCACTGGGCTGGCCCTTAGTTCTCCCAATTTTAGATGTGCAAGTTATTATTCTAACACACTTCACCAGTCATCCATCACTTTTGCTGCTATATTTAAACTGCAAATATCATAGTACAGTTATAAGTAACATAATAAACTATTTCTTTAAATATTTGGTTGTAGTTAAATTTGTCTATAAGTTAGGGGCTGGCCCGGTGGTGCAGTGGTTAAGTTCACATGTTCCGCTTCTCAGCAGCCTGGGGTTCGCCAATTCAGACCCCGGGTGTGGACATGGCACCGCTTGGCACGCCATGCTGTGGTAGGCGTCCCACATATAAAGTAGAGGAAGATGAGCACGGATGTTAGCTCGGGGCCAGTCTTCCTCAGCAAAAAGAGGAGGACTGGCAGTAGTTAGCTCAGGGCTAATCTTCCTCAAAAAAAATTTGTTTACAACTTAAAGATTTATTTAGAAAGCTGGATGCATTCCACCATTCCTACTTTTAGCATGACTAGCTTCCTCTGGGAGGCAGGGCAATTTGACACTAAGATCCTTCTTAGAAATGTTCTTCTGAGGCACGGGTAGTCAGGGACATTGGCCAGCTAAAGCAGTGCCGGTGTGCCTGTCTGCGTTCAGCTGGTGATGCATCGGAAGAACATTCAGGACCTGGGAGCTTGGACAGCTCACAGGATAACCTTGTTTTCCTGATTTTGCCTGATTCATTTAGTTTGACATTTCTGAGATGGAGCTTTGTTACCAACTAGCAACATATGTCAATGGGCTGAGGAAATGAGATTGCTGAAATGCTGTAGACATTAGGAGAAAAAATAAAGCAGGCATGGACTGCATTTAAAATAAACCAAAGCTTTGCTGAGAAAGGTTATGCTTTGGGGATATAAAGGAGTGGAAAGTATATACACTTAGTTCCAAATTAAATTTTCCATGGTCCTTGGTGTTAGAAGTTGATTTTTATTCCTGTGAAGGATACTTGCTTTGAATATACACAGTATAACTAAAAGTCTGTCAAAACTGAAAGTACAGTGAATTCAGTCTATGCTGTTCCCCTGTTATTTATCCCTATCCAGAACTATCCAGCTGACCCTATGTTACTAACTGCAGTAGAATTTTTATACACAAGTAAGGAGGCGTTCTCAGACAGACGCTCTCTTGATCCTTTTCTTACAGTGTCTTGCCTGTGTATTGTCCCAGCAAATGCACATGACTGGTTAATAAATGGTATTTTTACACTTCCCAATTCCCCAAAACACATCACAAAATAAGTTACTAAACCTACTGCTTAAATTCAGGAGCTAAATCAATGTCGATTATAAGTATAGTTTTTAAATTACTTAACATTTTCTAAGTTCTAAGAACTGTAGCCTTTTTATACCTGATCCTCTAGCATGGATACAATAAAACAAAATACATTAACAACGGTTAGGTTTTCACAAAACTGCTTTAGGAAACATTTTATCTTTTAGGGCTATGCTTTGAGAATTCTCACATCAGAAGTAGTATCAGTTGGAGTAATTAGAAATGAAGGTAAATAGGGAAAAGCTAGAGTATAACTTTCACGTATTCAAACAAAGTAGTGTAAAAACCACACATTTTAAAATAAAAACTAAAAATATTAAAATTAATTGTTTTCAAAAGTATTAGAAAGGCAGTATTTTTATTCTTCTTAATTAAAATCTTTAATTTCCATACATTTTAAAACTTTATGAAAACAGAAAAAGATTTCTCTCTTGGCAAGTCAGAAATATTTTTTTAACTATTGTTTTCTTTGTATTTTAAAACAAGATAATAAAAATGTTAATATTTTCTTAAAAATTAACCAATATTACTAAATAGTTGCAGAGGTAACTTTAAAAACTATGAAATATGAAAAGATGGAACTAAAATTTCCAATAGACCCTGCTAAGGTTTTTTAACACTGATTTTAAGTAAACTTTTAGGAAATGAATATAAAAGCTAATATTTTAAATGTAAGAAATTTTGACATGTTTTAAAGTTAATTGACAACAATATATATAATCTTGGAAGAATTTCCCTGCTATAAATGTCCACAGCTATTTAAATCTAACAGATATATGTTACTACATGAGCACAGGCTTTTAATTGTCAACAGAGTAATTTTTCATTTAGACAAACTATTTTGACAAGAGACACATTTATTTGCTGCTCAGAATTATACACCTTAGGAAATGTGGCATTATCATGATAATAGTATACACACTGGAGTAATAGACACATTTAAATGCAACTGCTTGCCTCCTCTGTTGTACAGATCCATCAAGCTTAGACTCCCAGTTGTAAATCAATGGCACATGTAAATGATCTGATTCTTCCTTTCACTACAACGTCTTATATGGAGTCTTTTCCACATTTAATCCTCTGTAAAGGATCATTTAAAGAAACTTTTGCTGCTTTCACCATGGAGATGTGGACGAAGTGGCTACATTTGCAAACTAAGCCCTTTCAACTGAATTAAAAGTATTTGATAGGGTGATACTTTTGCCTGTAAACTGAGACATAATTCAAAGTAGAGAGACAGAGAATCTTTCCTAAAGAGAATATTATAAAAGAAATATGTTTTAAGAATAAAATGATTTTAGATCTCTCACTGTATACACACACACGTTAGTACAGAGACCCTACTGAACGCTGTGCACACTGACAGTCAAGTGCATTTCATCTAGAGTCACATCTAACTCTCTCACGTCATTTTTATATTCCATTCCTACCAGCCTGAGGTTGAACTCACTTTATTCAATCTCTCCTACTTAATGAGCTCTTTCCCTTCACTTATGCATTAGCCATTGCTCTTTCGATCACACACAATGTAAAGAAAAACACTAACTTAGGCAAGGAATGGGATTTCTTGGCAGCCTAGCTGGGAAGGATAGCGGCAGTTTGCAGAAGTGAAGAAAGAGCTATAGGAACAACCAGGAGTTCTTTCACAAGCACGTCTCTCCGACTGCGTACAGATCTCCATATCGCCAAAGGAACACGGTGCTGGCTGCACCAACTGAATGACTCCATCAGAAGGAGAAAGCTGCTTCTCTCAGCCTCATTTCCAAGGAAGCATTCTGCATGGCAATCTCCCAGTCCCATGCCCAGACTTGGATCAACTATAATTTCCAGAGGGATGGGGTTTGCTATGCGTCTTAGCTTGAATTCTTCCAAAAGAAGACTCTAAGATGATGATTTGTGCACAAATAACTTATTTAAGAGGTGACCCCAGAAATTATTGCAAGGGAGCGGGGAAATAAAATGCGGGAAGGAGTGGTTTAATAAGCAGGTTATTGCTGTGGGCAACTGAGGCTGCTGGAGATCCTCGTAGAAATCGTATGGAACACAACTCGGAGTTGTTACACTAAGCAAGAAAGCTGGGGTATACATCCACAAATCCTCTTTCCTTGTGCATATCTCTGTCATGAATGGAAGAGCTCTTACTACATTGTACTTTAACGGTTACTTATGTGTCTTTCCCTTGAACTTTAAATTCCTTGAGGGCATGTCTTGGCCATGTTTAATTTCTCCAGAATCTGTCTCAAGACTTGACACATGGTAGGAAATCAATATATATTTGTTGAATCAGTTAATAAAGAACACACTTTTGAGATTTCTAGAACACTACCAGCATGCAGTTGCAAGACTGACGTGTTGCATACAGAGCATAGTTTATAGAGGCAAAAAAAAATTATGTGTATTATAAAATAAATTTTGAGGTGTGTAAATTTATTTCACTCTATACTACCAAAGCTCCCACTACTGGGGGACCAAGAATAAACCCCACTGTTTCTAGAAATCTTATGAAATTACATTTGCCTTTCTATGTGCTATTTTTATATTTATTAAAGCACTGATTTTTTTTATCATAGAAATTGTTTAAACAAATAAGATTATGTACAAAACAAACCTGTATTGAATAATTACTGCTAAATGCTCCTCTGCCTACCTATTTTCCCTAGGAAATGTTCAGTTTCATAGGGACCAAATTAAGTCACCTCAGTTCTAATCAGAAGACAGAGCATTGCCCTTACTTTCTCTCACAAAACATAATCACAATAGGTCTGATGTCTTACTACATCTATAATTTTTAAATAGCTCACATTGCACCAAAATGGATTAGATTGTTTTGACAATAAATTTCAATCACACTAACCAACATAGTTTACCTGTTAAGCAATCAATTTGGCATAAATCAAAGTACCAATTATTTTACTTGCTGGATCTGCAGGGTGAATTTTAATGCCATTTATAATTTAGCTGTCTAGTATGTAATCATATCATTACCCTGGCTCTGCGATTTTATTCATACTCATACTGAAATTGTGATAGACCCTAAAGGTTGACTAAAAACCATGACCAGAATTCTGGAGATGCATGTGCTGAACTGTCACACTTTAAGCCTTAAGACTTTTCTCATGACCCACCATGTCCTAGTCGGTTGACAAAACATCAACAACTTTCAAAGAGTTCCAGTGGAGCTTCCACACCCTGTATCTGTATAAGAAGCTAAATCTTGGAATTTTTCATGGTTTTAAATTTCAGTAATTTTTAAAATGGAATTTGATCAGAATATTGTCTTTAAAAAGTGATGTAATGGCTTTGACATATACCCTATTTTAAATAACAGCCATTAAAGTAACTCAGGTCATAATGTCTAAAATATCCCATAGTTGATCTCTTGTCAATATTCTGACGTAGTTTTTTAAAGCAATGTCACAGTGCTTAGTCTGTGATCTGCCAGAGGCTGAACTACTAAAGGAACATTACCCAAACATTTTTATGGTAGTTCGACCTGACCTACGGAAGCTTACTCCTATCATTTCTCGGTTTAGAAACATATTTTCCATCTCAAATATATACATGGAGCAAAATAGTTTAGAAATGATGTCCACTTCAAATATCTCTGTGCCGAGTCACAATTAGAAAGGGATGAACACATGAGTGGTTGCGTCCGCCCGCCACTCTGTCAAAAGCATTGACTTAAGTAGTCCTGTTTCTCTGGAAGCCTTAAGTGGAAGGATGAACTTCCAAGAAAAAAAGTAAGATTTTACTCACATACAATGGTGAAATCTAAATTGTCCCCAAGACCTTTTTGTGGCTGCTCATGAGAATGGAAAATCTTAGTAGTAGTATAATAGGAGATAAGGTTTTGTGGTATCTCTGAACTTATTTTCCCCTCATTCCACAACAGGAAAGGAATCTCACTAGATTATAGAAATTCATTAAATGCATTTATGAATTGAATTATCAAAACTATTATGATTTGGATAAACATGCCTTCTTCTGGAAAATTATCTCTGGTGAAAATAGAGGAAATTTTATTTAAACTGAGGAAATATACTGCTGCCCCTCCATAAATATTGATCTATTACTTATATTCTGAGAATCTGTTAGTGGGATGAGTAAAGCACCATGGAATAATCCTGCTCAAAAAATTAGCTCTTCTGCTGCTATTGAATAATTTTTCAAAAAACTTCACTACCAATCTTTGTTAAAAGGAAAATCACTCATGTAAATGATGTACTTCACAATTAGTGAGGTTTGCAAGGCATCAAACGCTCCTCTCACATTGTTTCCTGTCTTTCTTTTCCTGCTTCTTTCCTGAAAATATCTTTCCGTATGCTCTATATGTCCACGTTATGTGCTATATAGAGCCCATGTCATTTTTGCAAAAACAATTACTAATAGCTCCCCAGTTTCTAGTTCCAATTCCACGGAAGGCCCAGAAGTTTCTGTCATGTACATAGAATTTGCCTCTATATCCTTATAATAGATTACTTTATGTGCTCAGGAAGATGTAAATAGTTTGTAAAAACAAACGGAATTAGCTTTGACTAAGATAACTCTTAAATGATATGGTCTAAGCTGGCCTTTTGGGGCAGAAGAGTAAATAAGTGTTGCGTTTATCTTTAAAGGGCTTCTATTGCAGTGGAGCCAGTAAGAAGGAAAGAGATATGAACATATAAGTGGTTATGAGAAAATAACCAGCAGTTGTAGACCTCTTGACACAATATGGTTTTACACTGTGTTTACGGCACATGCCAGTTACACTGAAACCTGTGACGTGCTGGTTTTATGTCAGAAGCATTCCTGCTGAAGGTGGTAATGGCTCTTGCACAGCCAGCAGTATGTGAGCAGTAAATATTTACCCAGACCACCTGTGTACTGATCAGACCTCTTTCAGTTCCAGGTGAAGAGATCCCAGTCAAGCATCGTTAGTGATAATAGTTGAAGTTATTGGCTGATCTGACCCAGAAAGCCAGAAGCAGCCTGACATCAGGTATGGCTGGATTCAGGGGCTTCATAATGTCCTTTGATCAGCTCATTCTCTCTCTCACATGGGCTCTCTCCCACGGTACAAAGTAGCCACCAGAGTCACATGATACTGGTTGAGCAATTTAAGTAGAAAGAAGTGATGTTCATAGATAAGTCCAGGAGAAAAGTTACAGTGAAGCATCTGATTGCCCTGGATTGTACCTATGCCCATTTCTAACTAACTGCTATTGTCAGGAACACTACACGGACAAGATTACTCAGAAAAGAGAAACTGAATAAGAGAGGATCTCTGAAACAAAGCAAAAACAAAAAAGAGCCAAAAGCCACAAAGTTTCAGCTTTCTCCCTTTCCTGCTATGCTATTTAGGTTAACTTTTTAGATTATTTCCCCAATATTATGTGTCCCAGTAGGTTTATATACCTGATTTGGAGCAGATACTCCCCCATCCTCCAATGTATTTAGGTTTTCTCTCACCTGTTCTTAAGAAGTCATCCTCCCATAGGGACAAGACCAAACCAAAATGAAATAAAACATTAAAACAAATATAAGCTCTTACCTTCTCTACAAACACAGTAACGTTGTCCATCTACCAAAGTCAAGCACGTTGCATTGTTTCTGCAAGGGTCATTAAGTGGATCACAGGAGCTACGATATTCCTGGCAAAATTTTCCCGTGAAAAAGGGTGGGCACAGACACACAAATTGCCCTGGGATGGTTGATTCATGACAGAGGGCTCCATTCAGGCATGGGTCAGAGTCACATTCATTGATTTCCTCACTACAGTTTTGTCCAGTCCAGCCAGATGTACATTCACAGCTGAAATACAATTTTAAAAAATATGAACAATGCTGTTCCAAATTTATTCTTTGCATTTTCAATGTAATTACTACATTAAATTAATATGATTTTTTATTTATAGCAAGATTAATAAATTATATGTACTTTAAACATATTGTTCACCTAATTTCGTGAGACAATTTAATGTGTTTTCCTGCCAAACTGACTGCACTGGCTGAAATAAGATTTAAGAAGCATTTGGTAAGTTTCTAACATAGTCAGGCCACTGAGATGTACCAGAGAACAACAGTGCTATCAATTTCAATTTTAGCAACTATTGAGCTGAATTACCAACTAAGAAAATTTCCTCAATTATTTCTCTTATGTAAAATGATTTTTTACACTTGGGATCACTGTTTATAAGCCTGAGACGATATTTAATTCAATGTCTTTAGCACATGTGATTCTTATAACTGCCAGAGTATTTACAGCAAGATGCTCCTTTAGGTTAAGCATCCATTTTTTGTCCCTGTTTTTGTATGTTTTTAAAAACAACTTTCCTATTAAAATTTGAATAATGTGGAAAAATTGAAGAGAAAGGAGACAAATAAAAGTAAAGCATTCGGATCCCAGCTGTACGTCACAGACTCAGTCTGACCCTCAACCGTCCAGCATCTGTCATTCTCTTGGAAATTTTTGACTTCAAATAGCACTTTAGCCAAACATTTTCCATCAAAGTAACTAGTTCTGATCTTAAGAACAGCAGAATTCTAACAGGGCAGGAAAAAGGGTTTTCCATGTAAGGTATTCAAATAAAGCAAATACATAATAATGAAACCTGCAGACGTGGAGCCCATGCGAAGATTGTCAATCAACCGGTTGAGTGGAAGTCAATTATAAACAGTGGGTGGGTTCAGAGAGGGAACTCCTGTCAGTCTTTGGCAGGGTGGAGCTCCAAATCTTGGGTAAATGTACTATCTGACAAGTAACAAATCATGGCACAAGGCAGAGGAGATAGTAAAGAATTATTTTTTGAGAAAAAATTTCCTTTACTAATAGATTAGATATTCAAGACAACTTGAAAAATCTATTACGCGCTAAAACATCTAATTTGCTCCGTGATAAGCAATTTCTTGCTAAAGAAAAAAAAAAAGAAAAGAAAAGGAAGAAAGGGAGAGAGAATGAATCAAGCAATCAATCACCTCTTTTGCAGTGTCAAAGCCCCAGGAATACCCAGACCCTTTTGTGCTAACAAACACAGAGGACACCGACAGAGCGGGAGGAGATGCTGAACGATCGGCTTGCACCAGTACTTGAAATTGAACTCCAAATAAATATAGTTGTCATTGAAATAAATACTAAATTGAATAAGGGGCAAGATGGTTTTAGGCATAATTGACTAACAATGTGTTTACTAGCTCAATAATATTAAACCTAATTAAAAAAACAGTTAATTTTTTTTTTAAATTTGGTAATGGGCAGAAAGTGCTACCATGCAAACTGAGTATTTCTTGTAAGGTGTGTTTGTATAAGGCAAACTTTACAACTGAAATAATTCATACCTTTGAAATATAAAAATATAAATATGAGTGTTATTTCCTTTCAGAATGAGTAAATAGCCTTTATATTTTTATTTTCCTCCCTAAAAAGTAATGACATTATGTTGGTGACTAGCCATCCTAGTTGGCCTGGACAGTCCTGGCTTAGGTCTATTGTCCTAGCATACTTATTTTCAGGGCACTCTTTCACTTACAGAACTAAGATGCTATCCTCTTCGTCTTTGATTATCTCCTATATCCCTTAATGAAACAGAATATTTTCCAAAGAAGGCTATACTATCGCTTATTTACTAATCCTGCACATGATTTTACCTTGCTCTAAAATTTGCTTGCCACACTCTTTAGAAATTCATCACATATGGTAGCTTGTATTATAAACATTTGCATGGGTTGCCACTATTAAGCTTCTGGTTCCTTGATGTGTAGGAATCATCTGAATCTCCATATTCTTATGTACAATGTAAATTAAAAATATGATAAATATTAATTAATATAAGCTCTTTGTTTAGAATCATACAGACTTACCTGAATTGTTTCATTTGGGAAATTGAGGGCCAGAGAGCATAATAAAATTGGTAATCTTAGAGAATTGTTGTAAAGATTAAATGAGATGATGAAGAAAAAGTGTATATAGTAACTGGCATCAACAATGCCTAGTCTCCTACAGTGGTTACTAGGAGCTTTCACAGAATTTTCAACACCTTTGTTAGGGGTCGGCCCCGTGGCTGAGTGGTTGAGTCCACATGCTCTGCTTTGGCTCAGGGTTTCGCCCATTCCGATCCCAGGCACCGATGTAGCACCACTCATCAAGCCATGCTGAGGCGACGTTCCCACACGCCACAACTAAAAGGATCCACAGCTAGAATATACAGCTATGTTCTGGGGGGTTTTGGGGAGAAGAAGGAAAAATTTTAAAAAAAATTTGAAAAACCATTGTTACCCTATTTATGCCTAAATAAAATATGCATCTCAACAACAGGGATTGCTTCAATATCTAGTGGCACTTTTCATTTATTTGTCAAACCACATCACATTATACCGCATCATATTGAAAACTGTCCAATATATTATCCAATTTGATGCCTCCCGTGAAGCTTTGAAATCAGTGCAAGAAGTATTCCTACTTTCACTTTGCAGATGAGCTAGCTGGAGCTGCAAAGGATAAAGGTGATTTAGCCAAAGTCCCATAGTTAGCAAACCTGAGATCAGAAACCCAGACCTCTTCCTCTCAGCTTCTCTCTTTTTTTTCTTCCTTTTTCTTTTTTGCAGGTCTCAAATCCATTATAAGACCATTAAACATTTCGTGAAATAATGTTAAAATTTGGAATCACCAAAGTCCAACAGAAGAGCTTCAGTGCATTTATCTTACTTGAAGTAACTTTACTTCTGAGGGGCGTTGCACAATAGTTATCTTTTTATTTCTCTTGTATTCTTTCATGAGTACGTAATTTCAACGTGTCTATTTTAAAAGAGTTCTCTGTGAATAGCCGACAATGCTTGAATATGTAGCATATGTGCTGAAGGTTTGTTTTATCTTCTCAAATAACAGGTGGCCCAAGATTTCATGTGGTGTTATTACAAGGATCAAATTCTCAGGAAAGCATCTGGCCATATGTCAATAGGAGTGATGAAGCCAAGGCTGAGGTCTATGGAGATGAGTGGATATTTTGTAGAAAATAAACTTTTAAGAAGCAAAGTCACTGGTAGTAACTGACAATCAGACCCTCATGTTTGTATATTTGAATCTGCTTTTGTACGTACCAGAGAAACTGGTCTTTGATGGATGGAAAAACATATTTTATGTGAGAGCTTTAATCTGGTTTTTACATTGTACCATGAAATAATTTGAAGATTCAGTGTGATCTGGCAGGGATTTTCCAAACTCACAGCTAGAAGAGGAGTCTTTATGGATTAAAAGAACAAACAAGCAAAAACATATATTCTGTGACTTTTCAAGTGTACAATTTCTAGTAGTAAACACTTGAAAACTAATTTACTGTGCGCTTAAAGGTAGACTAATATATTCTAATTTGCTGTCTTTGCTAGTGAGGGAACCAAAAACCCACTGGCAGAAAATACATTGAACTCCTTCTAAGTAAGAACATTTCAATTCTTTTTTTCTTTTTTTCTTTTAGGTGAGGAAGATTGGCCCTAATGCCAATATTCCTCTTTTTGCTTGAGGAAGTGTTGTTGAGCTAAGATCTGTGCCAATCTTCCTCTATTATGTATGTGGGACGCCACCTCAGCATGGTTTGATGAGTGGTACACAAGTCCGCACCTGGGATCTGAACCCATGAACCCGAGGCCATGAAGAGGAGCATGTGAACTTAACCACTGTGCCACTGGGCTGGCCCTAGCATTTCAGTTATTAAATGTTGATTTAAAGTATCAAAGCTAATAAGAGAAAATAAAGTAGATGGCATTGTTATAAAATAGGAAAAAAAGAGTGTTCATCAAAGAAATTCATTAGCTTAAAAACTCTTAGTAGATTCCAATTTCTGAATATTAACCATTCTATATGCATACCTTCCCATAAATATAGATATGCAATGATTAAATATTGTTCAGCAATATTTATCTGTGTTTGAACATGTTTTGTATAGGTATACCAACTTTTTGGGATATAAACATAAATTTAAATCTAATAGTATCCATAACTTAAAAGAATATTTTCCTATAAAGATTAGTTCATTTATTTTTTTTTGCAGCCATTACCTGTATGCGAAATAAAATCCCAACCCTGCTAGTAGGTGAAAGACAAATGATAAGATTGTAAGTAATAAAATCGTATTACTTTTTTAATATCTTAAAACATTGAGGGTATAAGAAAAAGAAGAAATAAAAAATATGGGTTGCCCAACTAAGTCATTCATTCTTTATTTTATTGTTTTTTCCATTCACCTATTTGTTTTTTCAATTAGTTATATCATCAGGTGTGCCGTCAACAACACTATATAAACAGTGAATTACAAGATGGCCACTGCCATGCTCTTAACCATTGCAATCCTCTTGGGGAAAAAAGTAAAAAACCATTTAGCTTATTTGGACTGGTAAAATTTATTTCAAAGAAACTTTTAATTTTATTAGTAAACATTAAAAGTAGAAAAGAAGATTAAAGACCACTCTGAAGAACAGCATGAAGACGTTAAGAAGTAAAAATGTACGGGAAGATGAATACGGTGGGCTAAATATGGAGATGGCCTAAAAAGTGACAGCAGGGAAAGGCTGCACCCCACAACAATGAAACTAAGCTATTTTGCATTCTATTCCTGAAGATATTTAAGGTTCTGTTGTGGTTGTTTTAAAGTATGGTCATAACACAATTAGACTGAGTATTTTTGAGGCAGATTAGCCTTAAGCTAACATCTGCTGCCAATCCTCCTCTTTTTGCTGAGGAAGACCGGCCCTGAGCTAACATCCATGCTCATCTTCCTCTACTTTGTAAGTGGGATGCCTGCCACAGCATGGCTTGACAAGCAG